CTCTCTCTCTCTCAATATAGCACCATCACTATCTCCCCACCATCTCACACATCTCCGTTGCCAGCCAACAGCTCACAAGGGTGGGTCTGTTTGCCAGTGATGTCAGGTGAACCCACGCCCCGAACCAAAACATTGCTTCAAAAAAAAAAAAGGCAAAATTGATATATTTAATTCCCAACAACAACAAAAAGAAAATACATCTAACGGTTGGTTTGCTGTTGGTTGTTGTGTTTTTGTGGGTTTGTTGTTGGTTTTTTCCCCTCAGAATAGTTGTCTTTTCTATCTATAAGTGACCAACAATGAAACGCCAAGACATAAGGAGGTTATTGAAGACCCGGTATCTGGCTGAGTCTGTCCGGTCGGCGATGTGCAATGTTTAAAAAAGGGTTGGTTTTGGAGTGGTTTCAGCTTTTTCAATATGTCTCTGGGTGTTGTTGTTTTTTTTTCTTCTTCTTCAGATTCGTATGTTGCCTCTTTGAAGCATTTTGCCACTAATTTTGTTGACGTTCCCCTGACTCCCGTGTGCTGATGGCCTTGCCATCTCGGAGTTCCCCTTAGTTGTTTAGGTTGAATATTTTACAGCACAGAACGGCTGTCTTTGGATCAAATAAGACTCGGACTGATTCCTAAAGGCCAGTAAAAAAGAAGAAACGGAAAGAAACAGTGGCCGAACCTGCTCAAATAAGCACCTGTCTAAGACAATCTCCTGTACATACGACCACTAATTCCCACTGTTAACCCCTCCCCCCCCCCTTCCCATACTATCGCCCCTGGTGGTCGGAGCAGGCCACTAGTAGGTCCAACTTCTTTTCTTTCCCTCTGTTGTTTCTGTCGTCTGTCTGTTTGTCTGTCTTGTTTTCTTCACGTTACTAAAAGGTTATTTTTTGTGTCGATATGCTTCTTTTTACTCGAGGAAAAAGAACCACTGTCGCCCTTGCCTTTTGTTTGTTTATTATAATACTACTGTCTAAAAGGACCATGTTCTCCTCAACAATAATTGGTCGTCTTCAGGGGAAAAAAATCATTAGTTGTGATGAACCCTGAGGCTAATCAGCGAGAGATATAGAGGTGTACATTCTCTCTACCCGCGGTGATCTGCCTCTCAGCTTTCAGAGACGTATGTCTTCTTCTCCTCTCTTCTC